TGCATTAGCATCAACAGCACTTCATCTACTATTATTTATTATTCCAGAGTCAGGATCCTGAGCTGAGCCTTTATGCTAGCATGTAGCATCCAGCTAGCCAGCTAGGTTAGCTTTAGCTAACGTTATCATACAGCTAGCCAGGTAGGTTAGCTTTAGCTGACGTTATCATACAGCTAGCCAGCTAGGTTAGCTTTAGCTAACGTTATCATACAGCTAGTCAGCTAGGTTACCTTTAGCTAACGTTATCATACAGCCAGCCAGCTAGGTTAGCTTTAGCTAACGTTATCATACAGCTAGCCAGCTAGGTTAGCTTTAGCTAACGTTAGCTGCTACGTCCTGAGTGAACAGGGAGAACTGAACTAGCGCTTATTTATTAGCTTATATGTCATTGTGTTTTTTAACTTAGCTTGATATGCTTCTTCAGATTAGATGGGGAATTTTTGAAGGCTATAATCAACCATCTTTCGGGAAGCTTTTTTTTAATAGGCTATGCTTGATTGTTCAAATCGCCCAATGAGGAGCCAGCTTCCCAAACCCTGACGGAGGTATCTATATTTACTTTTACATTTCAGTAACGAGTAACGATTCAGTCTGTGAAAAATCGATCGGAGTAAAAGTATTGAAGTAATAAAAAATATGTAATGGAGTAAAAGTAAAAGTAGGGGAAAAAATATATGCTCCAATAAAGTAAAGATACTGCATTTTGGTACTTAAGTACAGTACTTAAGTAGTTCTACTTCGTTACTGAACATCTCTGTCGGCAGCACACCTGCAAATTAGAAGGAGAACTGAGTCTCCGTCTAACTCTGAAGCATCCTGGAACAATTATATTCTCACTTCAAAGATGGTTTCAGAAGCATCCCGGGCTGGTCCCTCATTTATAGAGATGAAGCTCCATTAACGGTGTCACACAGGGGGAAAACCGGAGTTATGTTCTTTGTTTCAAGCTCGGTTAGGAAGATTTAATAAATGTTTAATTGAGGTTGAGAGTATTAACGTCCTACTTAAAATCCCATAAAAATCTAAGTGGAGATGTTGATCGGAACTTTGTTTGAGGTGATTTAGAAAATAAGTCCGTCTCAGATAGCCCGCTCATCAGGCACCTGATGCCTTTTTATTCCTCTATTCTTATTCACAATACATCTACTAATGTAACCTTAATGTCTACCCGTGTGGAGTTTGTACTCATTTTAAAGATTTATCTGCCTTTTATCACTCACAGCTCATTTCTCCACCAGGAGGGCCCAGTGTGCCCCCGAAGAAAAGCCAGAGAACGAAGTATTTCAAAAATTGCTACTCAAGTATCGAAAATACAAGTATAAGTAAAAGTACAAGTACTGTGTATATTTAAAAAAGGCAGTCAAAAGTGTGATAGGTATTGTTTATATTATTTCAAACGTGTGAAAGGCCATACAGGTGTTTACAAAAACAGAAAACTACATCTGCATTAGCATCAACAGCACTTCATCTACTATTATTTATTATTCCAGTCAGAATCCTGAGCTGAGCCTTTATGCTAGCATGTAGCATACAGCTAGCCAGCTAGGTTAGCTTTAGCTAACGTTATCATACAACTAGCCAGCTAGGTTAGCTTTAGCTAACGTTGTCATACAGCTAGTCAGCTAGGTTAGCTTTAGCTAACGTTATTATACAGCTAGCCAGCTAGGTTAGCTTTAGCTAACGTTATCATACAGCTAGCCAGCTAGGTGAGTAACGATTCAGCCCATGAAAAATCGATCGTAAAAGTATTAAATTAATCAAAAATATGTAGTGGAGTAAAAGTAAAAGTAGGGGAAAATATATATACTCCAATACAGTACAGATTATGCATTTTGGTACTTAAGTACAGTACTTAAGTAGTTCTACTTCGTTACTGAACATCTCTGTTAAAAACAAGTCTGAAGAGTCAATTAAATGTATTGCACAGTTCATAACAGCAAAATGAATGTGTTTTTAATTGTAAATTAATTGGACTGTAGATAATTTGTTGAATGTATTCAATACTGCTATTTCACTGGCGTTTATTTTCCCCATTCTTTTTATTGGCCTCATCAAAATATGTCTCAAACACATTTAAATGAGCTTCACAGCTCCCATCCATCATCAGTCTTTTCCCTCGTTCTGAATCTGCTCTGGTGGAAAAGTTCCCGTTCTTTCCTCTCCTCTCCTGCCTTTGGGAGGATCTTTTGTGGATGCCAGCTGCATATAAAGTTTCCCTCCATTCCCACAAATCGCTTCCTGCTTCCCACAAACAGGACGTATGGACGACGTTCTGCTTTATATCCATCACATATTAGGCATGTTTGACTTATATGTGATATCCATGTTGAATCTGGCTCAACAATGATGGATAAAAGCTAGTGTGGGATCACTATATATTCCTTCATAGTTATTGATGTTTCAGATGTGATTTTTGCTATACAAAACATACCCTTGTTAGATGCTGTTGTGGACATTTTTATTTTAAAGCAAAAGTCTGAGTCCATCTGAGGAAGTAAGAAATAGAAATGTATTAAAAGGGAAAAAGGGAAAGGGAAAACTTCATGAAGTGACCATACGAGTGGTTCATATGACATACCAAACTTCCCCAACTATTAAACAAATCATGGTACATTTTATACCCTCTGAGTCTGAAAATAAGACGTAAAGTCTGTCCTCCATTCTGCACCTGCATTAAACAATCCTCCAGACAAAACCTTAAGAGATAAAGCATAAGGAGACCCTCTCTGAGACCTAGGAGGAGGGAAGAGTCACATGAGAAAGAAAAATAACTTTTAACATATTCAGTTCAAAGTTACCAGAGAGAAATTAAGAAAGTGATTAAACATATATTGATTTCCCTAACAGATGCATTCAAAAGTTGTAAAAACAGTCTATTCCTGTGTAAATATCTTTCTCTTTTCTTTTCTGTGTGCTTACTTTTTGCAGTTTGTGGCAAATTAGACACTTTTAGCTGACACAACCTGTCAGTGGGACCAGCAGGGGGCGCCAGAGAGTCCGACAGCACCTGAAGGTAACACACAGACTCACAACATACCCTCAGGGTGGTTTCCAAGATTTTTTCATCTCTCATGCATTTTACTTTTCTAAATGCCCATTCTGGTCCATTTAGTCCAGCAGCATCAGTGTGTTGAAAAATTAACAAAACCCATCAGAACTGATTTTTTTGTCATAAAATCCCCTTTAACCCTTTAAAGCCTGATCCAAGAAAAATAGGAAGAATATTGGATTTTTTTAGTCTGAAGTCTTTCTTTGGCCCCTCAACAACATATGAAGAAAAAAAAACAGAAATGATTTTGATCAAATTAGCGTGCAATAAGTCATAAATCTATGTTGGTGTAGTCTTCTACTGGCTGTTATCAGGTATATCTGAATG